AGTAATTTCCTCCCTTTGAAATGGGGAAAATGAACCCGGCTGTTCAGTCAGATCTAGATCTGCAGGAGGCGGAGATCCCGGGAACAGGGTGTCCCGCATTGGGTGTGGGGGGGATTCACTCGATCCCAATTATTCTATTACACACATTGATATGGGTTAAAAGGAATTATTATCTGCCAAAGAGAAATCCAAATAGTCCCATGTTCACCTCTCAGTTCCCGTGTGGGGATAGAAAGCAGGAGAGGTGAAAACACAAACCCAGGCAGCTATAAAAGGGAACAAGGCTGTTCCCCAAATCCCTGTTTGTCAATGCCATAGAGCTGTGCAGTGTCTGTTTATTGATTTATTTGACTCCCTGCCCTATACATTGTCTCACTTCTATTAGCCTCATCAATGAACTGGTCTCCAGCCAGTCTGAGAGCCTAGGACCATGGTGCATTATGGAGCCAGCCACCCACCCACCCTCATCGTCTGAGCATCATTCAGTGTAACTGTCTATGGAACATTCCCTGAGAACATTCTCTCTCTCTCTCTCTCTCTCTCTCTCTCTCTCTCTCTCTCCAGTGTGTGGGGATATGAAAGGGAACATGAGTGGTAATGGGAATGGAGATCTGTGTTTCAGTGTGAATGCTGATACTTGTCTGAAAGTCAGTGGGAATAGAAATGTTGTTGTTTTTGTTTGTTGTTATCCCTCAATATTACATCCTGGGGATGGTTTAAAATCATGTAGTATTCATAACACACAAGTTCTTTAAACACAACCAGGAGAAAGCTTCTGTCTACACTTTATTGCTTATTAATAATTAACTAAGTAAATGATCTTGATGATGATGCTTAACGGTTATAGATTTGGCGCTGGTTGTGGTCCTAGTGCCTAGGTTCTCCAGAAGCTGGGAATGGGCGACAGAGGATGGATCACTTGGTGATTCCCTGTTCTGTTCATTCCCTCCGGGGCACCTGGCATTGGCCACTGTCGGGGGACAGGATACTGGGCTAGATGGACATTTTGTCTGACCCAGGCTGGCCTTTCTTATGTCCTTAATTATAGTCTAGGCTCCCAGAGTCCTAGGCACGGTACAATCACAGACCATAAACCTCTCTCAGTCCCACCGAGTTTACAATCCGAGTGTAAATGGGAAGTGGAGTGTGACTGGGAACAGGAATATAAACAAGAATATAAATATCATCCGCACATAATAATCTTCCTTCACTGTAGCCTGAATCCTCCCTCGACTCTCCCCTAAAGAAAAACTCCCAGACACGCCGCTCTCAGCCCACTAATGTCAGGGAGTCTCCACTGCAAAACCTTAACTCAGTCCTCAGACTCCGCCCCCCAGCTTCTCCCACCTGCACCCACAGGCGGGCCCCAGACCTGGTGCAAAGCACGAGCCAGGCTTGTTCAGATCACATTCCTAGTGTCATGGATCATTTCAATGTAGCCGGTCACTGCTGGGAAGGGAAAGGGGCTTCCATCCCAAATCCTTCCCAGCGCCATGGGAAATCTTACCTCTCCAGCGGGTGGCGCAGCCCAATGGATCCCTGGGACACGACCCCTCCCCAGACACTGACACTGATCCATTGGCGCAGCCCAATGGATACCTGGGACACGACCCCTCCCCAGACACTGACCTCCCCAGGCCTGACCGGACGTTGCATGGCCCCTGTGCGCGTGGAACGGGGCTCCAGAGCTGAGTCCCTCAATCCCCACTATCACCTCACAATAGCCAGGCCCTCAGTTCCTGGGTGAGGAAATACAGTCACTGCAGGGAGCTGGTCATTCCTCCCAGAGGTCAGAAAGTGTCAGGAGGACCCCAGCGCACTGTGCCCGGCGCTGTACAGACACACAGGACGGGACAGTCTGACTCCCGCACCCGGAGCCCTAGGGCGAGTCAGTCAGATCACTGGCAGCAGGAGTGGGTGTCTCTTATAAAGCAGGGGGTATGCAAATGAGGGAGACAGTTTCCTGTTTAAATCTGTGCCTCTCTATGCCCAGGCTGCACCCGGAGACACAATCAGCAGCCCCTGGGTCTGTGCAGTGACCAGCCAGTCCCCTGAGAACTTTCCCCTCCAGCACCCGGGAAAATGGGATTTTTGCTCCTTGTAATTTTCGCTGTAGCAGCGTTGGAAGGTATTTTCCTCCTCTGAATAACTGGCAGAGTTAGACGAATATTGTGTTACTGCTGTTTTTATACCGATATTAATGTCCTGTCTTTATTCCCAGGTGTCCGGTCCCAGGTGCTGGTGGAGTCCGGAGGGGATGTGAAAAAGCCCGGAGACTCTCTCCGCCTCTCCTGCAAAGCCTCCGGCTTCACCTTCAGCAGCTATCACATGAACTGGGTCCGTCAGGCTCCTGGGAAGGGACTAGAATGGGTCGCTGTTATATACACCGGTGGGAGTACATACTACCTTGATTCCGTCAAAGGCCGATTCACCATCTCCAGGGATGATTCCAAGAGTGAGCTGTATCTGCAAATGACCGGCCTGAAGCCCGAGGACACCGCCCGCTATTACTGTGCGGGAGACACAGTGAAATGAAACCGGTTTGTGATCATACAAAAACCCAGGCTGCGGAATCGCCCTTCTCCTGGCAGCCGCTCGGAGGCAGCAGTGACACACACACTGTTTTGGGCTTGGAGAGGAGACTGTCAACTGGGTGATTGTAACACAAACCTCCCGTCAGTTTTAACCCTTCTGTTCCCGGGCAATGTGTCTCCCCTTCCTGCCCAGAGCCCCGCTGGGCCTGCGGTGCAGAGATCCCTCGCTTTATCAGTGAACCCCAATCTGGAGTGTGTCCTGTTCTGAGTCGCTCTCCCCTCGC